AGGAGGGATTTTATAGTACTGTACACAGGAGAGCTGTTACCCTTCCCTTTATAGTTATGACACGGGGTGTGGAGCATGCTTTCAGAAGTCTTATAAGAACAGGGCCGGCCTTAGGCACAGGCCAACTGGCCAAAAGCCCAGGGCGCCATTATAAACAGGGTGCCTCTGGAGCAGGGGTGCCCTCCCCCTGCTGCTCTGCTGGAGTCTGCAGGCCTGCGGCTCCTGCCCCCTGCCTTGGAGCTGCCCCTAGCCAGCTGCTCCTGGGAGCTTCCTGTCTGCTATGCAGAGGGGTGGGGTGGGGGGAGGAGGAGGAGGGGCACTGTTGTCAGGGTGTCCCCACCTCCTCACCCAAAGCATATGCTTTAAGAGCTTTGCTGAATAGGGTTTTTAAGTGTTGATATAACTTGCCAGCAATATTTGAGAATCTCTACTTTGAAAGTGAAGCAAAAAAATGGTGAAGAAACTTGTGCATGAAATCAGTGGCAGCAGGGCCGTCCCTAGCCATTTTGGTGCCCTATTGTAGTGTTTAGATGCTGCATGTGATTATGAGAACTGGGAGCACTGGCTGGTGGGAGTCTGAAAGGACAGGAAACAGGAAGGAGGGGGGAGGAGTTGAGGAGGCTGAGTGAGAGTTAGAGTGTGCAGTTACAGCTTGGTAAAGAGATTTCCACTGTAAATAAAGCTCTGTTCAAGTTTGTTAATACCTTGCCTGGGTGATACAACACCTATGCAGCCCCCTGACCCCAGCCCGCTCCGATGGAGTGGAGCAGGCTGGGGCCGGGTCACTGCACTTACCGCCGCCAGTGAGTGTGGGCCCGACCCCTGCAGCAGTCCTCAGGGGGGTGGAGGCGGGGCTGGGGCAGAGCAGGGGTGGGGGCTTTGGAGAAGGGGGGGAGGGGGGGGGGGGGCGGGGGCGGGGGCGGGGCAAGGGTGGGGGCTTTGGGGAAGGGGTGGAGTGGGGGCGGAGCAGGGGCAGGAGCCATGGGAAGAGGCGGAGCAGGGGCTGGAGCAGCATGCAGTTGCGCAGGGCACCAGGAAATGTGGTGCCCCATATTTCCTGGTGCCCTACGCAGCTGCGTACTTTGCGTATGGGTAGGAACGGCCCTGAGTGGCAGACTAAGGAACAGAATCTAGCAGACCTGACTGCCAGGCTCCTGCTCTAAACACTAGATCACATTAATCCTTTCCAGTTCAACAGAGGTTTGAATGGAGTGATTCCCTACCACATTGCTGTGATCTTTTTATGGTGAATGGATATAGTGGAGTGGGCTTACATCATTCCTCTCCATGAATGAAAAAATCAGGATGTCTCCAGAAGTTGCTGCCTGTTACTGGGAAGAGATTCTCTCAGTGGCATAGTTATTTTGCTTTTGACAAAGTAATTATCAAAGTAAGAATTAAAACCTTGATGGTAAATGTTGATTTGGCTTTAGAACATCTTTTCCAATTAACTTATTTTTTTTCTTTGTTCCAGTATGCTTTAGTTACAAGTGTACTGTAAAGATCATAATGACTAATTGCCTCTAACAAGTTTCAAAGTAGCAGCCCTGTTAGTCTCCTGCCTCCAGGGGCGGCTTCAGGCATCAGCGCGCCAAGCGTGTGCCTGGGGCGGCAAGCCGCGGGGTGGCCTGCGGGTCGCCATGAGGGCGGCAATCAGGCTGCCTTCGGCGGCATGCCTGCAGGAGGTCCGCCGGTCCCCCGGCTTCGGTGGCAATTTGGGGTGGGTACGCCGAAGCCGCGGGACCGGCAGACCTCCCGCAGGCATGCCGCTGAAGGCAGCCTGTGTCGTCACACTCAGAAGCAATGACCTGAACTTGCATCCCCTGCCAAAAAAGGTGTCTTCGGATGTTTTCTCCTGACAGAATGTTCCCTCCTCTTGATTTTTCACATAAACATAAGTATTACTTGTAATGATCTTGATGCAGGTCAAAACAAACACAGAAGCTTGTGGCATGGTACAAAGAATTTTGTATGTTTCCAAGAAAAGTCAAAGGGACAAATTCAAGATCCACGCTCTTTTAATATCAGCATTGTCACAAAGGCAAATAAAGTCTACAAAACAAGGGCTAGCATAGGCCTGTTTTCATACTGGCTGCATCATCCTATATACAGTGCTCCTCGCATAAAATGCTCTTATCCTCGAGGAATAATCGGAGACAGATAAAAGGGGGCCCATGCTAAAATGTGCAGATCAGTCCCTGTCACTGCATTCCTCAACCTGGAAATCGGTTGCTCTGGCCACAGACAATTCTACAGATTTTGAGGAAGCTGGGAGTGAGCCAAAAAAGTCATACCCTGTGATTCCGCTCTCAACACTGGCTTTTTGGTTATGTGTTTATGTACAACAGAGGCCTTAATGTGGCTCCATGTGTTTGGAGGCTGGCTTACTGTGTGATGATTTGCAATTCCTTTATCATTGTCTTAGATGTCACTGATGAGAGAAATGCAGAACTCAAAAGATACAATTACCCACAGATCTGTAGTATCTGTATCTTAGCTATCCAGTTCCTGCCATGTATTCTTCTCCTTCACTGCCACTTCACTAAAGGATTTGCAAAATCCCTCAAGCAGCTTAACTACTTCTCCTGGAATACTTTTGGTAGAAAGTTACTAACACAGCTTCCTGCTATGAGTTGCTTTTTTGCTTCACTTTCAGCTGTGACTTCTAAATGTCAACCAGTTCTACATCAACAGGGATCTACAACTGAAATGTATAGTATTTGAGAAGACTATGGACTCTGATATCTGGACTAGGAGCTCAAAATGGAACCTTTCACTGTGAAATTCATTGAAAAACAAATGTTATATATCATATAAATGTATCTTCTAATAATAGTATTGTGCAAGTATAGAATGCTTTTCATTCAAAGACATCTTCACAAACAATTAGGCAAGCCTCACTACACTCTGAGGCAAGCATTAGCACCCTTTTACAGATACAGAAACTCAGGCAC